CCCAGCTGTTTTATAGTCCCATCTAACCCCACAAACTATGCAGGAACCTGCAAGGTAAAGCTAGGTAGCAGTGCCAGGCGTGTACTTGGAAACTGGAAAAGGAGAGTGGGCTTACACCTTGGGTTCTTGCCCCTCGTTGAGTCCAGTTCTTCTCCTTGAAAATGGGATTTACCAGCAGACTACCTTCTCCAGGCCAGGCAAAGCCCCTTCTGCTCTACAGATCCCGTCCTAAGGGAGAGGATCTGAATGTACCATGAAATGAAATGCTTTGATGAACAAGTAGATCATCGCTCTTTCCCCAGCTGCTGGGTCTTTGCCCACTGGGGTCAACTGCAATGGGTGCTCTGGTCCCAGCACTGGTACTCCAGCTCTAGGACAGTGCTGGCCCCAGCATGCAGGTGAGGCCTCTCTCTTCAAAGCACCATGTAGTCATACCTATCCCTGCACAAGTTGCATCTTGTAAGAAGCTGCTAGGATGGTGTTTTGTGTTTCTTGGATATCCCTGTTTCATTTTCTAAGTCTGTTACACAGCCTGGACCAGCGAAAAACAGGCGATCAGGTAGGCGGTGTGGAAGAGGAAGGGATAAGGAAATGAATGGCAACAGGGAGAGGAACATTGTGCTTTTCTCAGGTTGGTTAAGGAGCAAGTGAATTCCCCACCTGATCAGCCAAAAAGGGTGATGCATTACTGTGAAAACATTTGCTTTTCAACTGAAATTATTCCGGTACCACAAAAGAGTTGGCAGACTTCAAAAGGCCCAAAGACAAAGTATAAACATTTAAAAAATTCTCATTATTTGGGGTCAGATTGTCATTAGCCCTATGCTGCCTGACCTGGTATCTGTGTTGCCACAGCAAGGTGTCTGACTCATCTGCAGGTGTTTGCGGTTCAGCAGACAGTCTGCACTCGGGCTGCCTGCCAGTCCTGCCTGCCACTGCTGACAGCAACATCCTGCCTTTCTCAGAAGAACCCCTGTAGTGACAAGGCATTGCTGCAGAAGTGGGCAGACGGTTAGAGGAGGAAAGGTCAAGAGGGGTGTATTTGTCCATCAGTCCATACTGTAAGCAGGTGCATGCTTTACTGTGACTAATGTATTTATATAACCCAGTTCTCTGCCACAGGAAAGCAGCCTCTTTTTTCTTAGTAGGTATAAGTGCATTTGTGAGTGTACAATAGACATTTTTGATTCTTTTCCCCATATGATAACGGACAATGGTCAACTACATTTGTAGGTTCACATCACAAGGATCTTAGATTGCTTTCACTTCTCTGAACTTTACTGCAAGGTTTGCCTGCATTTTGTTTTCCCTTGTTGGGCTGAGTTTATGGTATTGAGCCTCCTTAGCATAAAGCGGGAACAAATTCAGTGGATAAATCAATCTGAATACTGGAGCTGTATCAAGTTGTGCTCTTCAAGGCATCTTAAAATAGCAGTCCCATTGAGTAAGACTATGAGTAAGCAGCTCCCACAAACATGTGCTGCCTTTGCTGTGTACTAGAAATGTATGACCCATCTGGAATCAGATGGCAATCTTAGACATTTCAGAAGGAGTTTCTAGAATGTGTCTGGAAGGATGGTCAGTTGGATCCACTTGGTCAATGAAATTGTTTGGTCAGAAGATATTCAGCCAGCTAAGAATCATTAAGTCAGGGAGGGGAGGCTAACCTTACCACTCTGATGGCCCTGAAGTTGTGCCAAATTATGCAGAGTTATTTAAGGACTCTCATTCTCAGCTTTCCTAGTTCCTCAGGGATTCTTTCTTGTCAGCACACAGAAGCGGAAGAAAGATGTTGGTGTGAATATGGGGGAGGAACCAAATGAAACCAACATTAAAACGAGTGCATGTATATATATATATGTATATGCATATTTAAAATCCAGATGCACATATACACATATATATTTATATATGCCTCTGTGTGTGTTTGAATTTTGCAGTGTTAGCTTGTGACAGATGTAGAGACCAATAAAATCTATCCCTGCTTTTCCAGACTGTACATGTTGCAGAGCTTATTGATGCTAATATTCCTATAAAGATACTCTTCTGCATGCAAGACATTGCAGTATATTTGACCGGGTGAATATGAAATTATCTCTGAAGTCATGACCAGGTAAATCTGAAATTATCTCTGGAAGTAATGTTATGTTGAAGCTGAAATACAAGATGCATGTCAGCTTTAATTCTGTCTCCTAACAAGGGATATGTGATACCAAGATATAGAACTATTTGTATTGTGGAACTGGATTATTTAAGCTGTATTCCACAGTGTGGCTCACCTAAACCTTATCATTTGTCCCCATGTGCCTTCACCTTGCTACAATGCGATCCATGCCAGCTGCACTGATAGCTTCCAGGATTTTTTTTGTGATAGAGTACCTCATCTTTTTCCCACTGTCCGTCCAGACAGACTTGCAAGCTAAGATGCCTTTGAGGTCAGAACTGCTAGAGGTACATTAAATATATATATACCTATAGCATTCTTGTCACATTGAGATACTTAGTAATGTTTTTCTTGACTGAGCTTTCCACATTATGCCTTTAATCAACAAATGTGACAAAGCTTGCTCAGAGCCAAAGCAGAAAACAGGGGCAGGTGGCCTTTCAGCATCCCGCCTTTGTGCCTTCTGCTACTGCCTCTGGCATCCTCCTGCAAGAGCCAGGAGCTAGCATGACCTAACAAAACCGTCAAGCCACACTGCAAAGGAAAGAGGCTAGCAGGAAAAGAAAAAATAAGATGGAGGCAGCAGACTCAGGGGTGACTGAATACCCAAGCACTTCATGAAAAAGGACACACAGACACCAGAGAGAAGTAGGCAGGAGATGAGAAACATGGAGAGAAGGCATCCACCAGAGGGAACAAGGAGAGGGGATATATGTGTAAAATACACATCAAAAGCTGGAGTTCCCGATTTCATTGCTGTTGCTTCCAAGCATATATGAAGTATCATCCCTAAGAGGACAATTTAGTGTCTACACAGCAAAAACATTGGGAAGTTATGGTAAAATGGTACATTGACTTCACGTTGTAGCAGCCATCTATCGTTTCTTCATCGGCTGTGCTGATTATTTGCACTGTTTGAAATGATTCACTGGTTTGTGGTTGGGGTTTTTTTCTGTCATTGCCATGTATCACAAGCAAACTCTTACCCATTAGTGATAGCTTTGCCTCTCTAAATTTAGAAGTGTTTATTCAGTTCCTGCAATTTGAGATTTGGAGACAAGCCTGCAGCTTCCAGATACTACAGTATTAGCAAAGTACTTTAGAGGGTATTTTAGGTTAAACTTAGCCATGTTGACAGAGCATATATCTTCTCTGTTCCTCAAAGAATTCAAGTTAAAAGGGACATAAAATTTGTCAGCTAGGTAGAAGTGTGTTTCATCACTAGCGCTTCATTAGCAGACTGAAAAAAATGACACCTCAGTGTTTTCGTAGCTGGACTTAAGAATGCCTGTCTTTGTGTGTGAAGCACTAGTAAATAAAATGAAAATATGTGCTTTAAACTTTTTTTAATTATTGCCTGTGAAAAGTGCTATGAAAGCAGACAGAACTATCTGATCAGCATCTGCTCAGTCATATGATTGCATACATGCAAATATCTGTAAGAAGGATTCATGAAGTTCAGTAAAACTTTTCCAGGTAGGACACAGAAAGGGGTTCTCAGACGTATCAATGAGCTGCGATCTGTGGAATTCCCATCCCTGCTATGTGATGATACAGCCAGACCTTATACTTTTTAGGACGATGTTATGGAGAGTATCTATGTGTACAGCGCATTGCAGGTATGAATTTATTGATGGGAGGGAAGGTGGCAGACATTTAAGCTATTCAACCAAAGCAGGGCACAACTTCCCAGCTCTCCTCTCCCTGGCAGATCACTACATTCACATAATGTATGTTGAGCACTTCTGTGCTGTTAAGTCACTTTCAATTAAATTTCTTTCTCCGTTAAGTGTTGACCATTTAGAAAAGTAAATGCATTAACACACTAAAATGTATTCTTGTGTAATCTGACTTCAGTCATGCCCTTAAGTCTGCATGAAGAGTACAAAATCTTCCTACACCATGCCTACATTAGTTGGTTACACAACTGTAATTGCTAAGGTAGAATAACTTGTTCCTACTTGATGTTCAATAGGCATTTTAAAATGTGCCGATTACATTTCGAGGAGTGAAAGGTTTCACAAGCAAAGCAACAGATTGCACAAGTAAAGCAACAGGAGGGTGCAAGATAAAGTCTATCTTCTGCTGTAAATTCTATTTATTCCTTGTCAATGTATGATAACCTTCCCGATTACTAAAATCAGTCATTGCCCCAAACCGTTGCTCTGATGCAATTCCTCCCGTCTCTTCAGCAAGAGACAACAGCTCCTTGTCGTGCTCTCCCAGGGTGGCACGTACCCTGCTGAGCACCCCTGTCCCGTGCAGCCCTTTCTCTGCCTGCCTTAGGCCCGGCGGATAATTATCCATCATACCAATTATTAATCAATTGCAGCAGTGGCGATAGTTGATAACTATCAGCATACTGCAACGCAGACGCTGGATTCAGTGCAAGTTATGCCTGTGAGGCTCCTGCAACGGACGACGCTGAAAACCCGCCGGTGCTGCCGGCACCTGACGCCGAGCCGTGCCGGTGTGGTAAAGCCGGCTCTTTCGGCGACGTTTTTGGCTGCAGCTCGGCGCCCGCCTTGGCCGGCTGCCATCCCAGGACACCGGCCGGGCCGCCCCGCCGCCGCCCTGTCCCCTGCATTACAGCTCCCAGGATGCAGCTCGCCCCCCC